CCTCCCCCTGAGATTCTCCCCTGACGGCTAGTGCAGGGCTGGCATTGTCCAAGTTCCAGAGATCTCCCTCCCCGGTCCGCAGGCACCGTGCTGACAGCCGGCAGGGGAGGGAGAAGGAGGGAGAGAAGACCCGGGAGCTCAGCCTGCAGCTCCTCCGGTACCTCCTCTCATGAGATTTGAAGCGTTGCTGCAGTTACCACAGCAACGTTCCAAATCTCGCAAGAGTGAACTCTAGCCCTGGAGCTGCGGGCTAGAGTTCACCTCACCACCACTGGACCACCAGGGATCGAAATATGTCCCCCCTCCTCCAAGTAAAGGAAAGAAGGGAGGGGGGACATAAATATATATATTTTATTAAATACAGTTTTTTATTATTAAAAAGCCTCCCTAACCTCCTTCCTCCCCATACACATACTGTCCCCATACACACACTGCCCCCCATACACACTGCCCCCATACACACACTGCCCCCATACACACTGTCCCCATACACACACTGCCCCCCATACACACACTGCACACCCATACACACACTGCCCCACACACACTACACACCCATACACACACAGACACATAAAGTGCCCTACACACACTGCTGCCCCCCCATACACACATTGCCCCACATACACGACCCCCCATACACAGAGTGCCCCCGTAAACACACTGCCTCACACATACATACAGCGCCCCCTATACATACAGTGCTCCCCATACACACATTGCCCAAAAACACATACAGTGCCCCCATACACACACTGCCACCCTCACACACACACACACTGCCCCACACATACACTGCCCCCTAACACACACACTGCAACCCTGACATACACTGCCGCACTCACACACACACTTCACCGCTCACACACTTCACCCCTAACACACACCACTGCTCCTATGCCCTATATCCCAGCAGACCCCAGGTAAGTTGTCAAACTGTTCTTAAACGGTATGACTACTTACACTGGGGTGGGATCCTGGCACTACTGGCACCATAACTACTACACTGAGCTGTAGTGGTTATTGTGCCTGGATTATTTATTTAAATAATCTACAAGTGCCCCTCCCAAGATCAGGCTCTGGATCCGCCACTGCTATGAGCTTGCCACATGTTACCACGGGGATTTTTGCCCATTCCTCCTTGCAAAACTGCTCCAGCTCCTTCAAGTTGGATGGTTTGCGCTTGTGAACAGCAATCTTTACGTTTGACCACAGATTTTCTATTGGTTTGGGGTCTGGGCTTTGACTAGGCCATTCCAACACATTTACATGTTTCCCCTTAAACCACTCAAGTGTTGCTTTAGCAGTGTGTTTGTCTTGCTGGAAGGTGAACCTCCATCCTAGTCTCAAATCACGCACAGAGTGGAACAGGTACTGCTCAAGAATATCCCTGTATCCATCCATCTTTCCCTCAACTCTGACCAGTTTCCCAGTCCTGGCTGCTGAAAAACATCCACACAGCATGATGCTGCCACCATGTTTCACTGTGGGGATTGTGTTCTTTTGGTGATGTGATGTGTTGGGTTTGCGCCAGACATAGTGTTTTCTTTGATGGCCGAAAAGGTCAATTTTAGTCTCATCAGACCAGAGCACCTTCCTCCATACATTTTGAGAGTCTCCCACATGCCTTTTCGCAAACTCAAAACATGCCATTTTGTTTTTTGCTGAAAGTAATGGCTTTCTTCTAGCCACTCTGCCATAAAGCCCAACTCTCATGGAGCGTACGGCTTATTGTCGTCCTATGTACAGATACTCCAGTCTCTGCTGTGGAACTCTGCAGCTCATCCAGCTAGGGTTACCTTAGGTCTGTGCTGCCTCTCTGATTAATTCCCTTCTTGCCCGGTCCGTGAGTTTTGGTGGGCGGCCATCTCTTGGCAGGTTTGCTGTTGTGCCATGTTCCTTCTATTTGGTTATGATAGATTTGATGGTGCTCCTGGGGATCATCAAAGATTTGGATATTTTTTTTTATAACCTAACCTTGACTTGTACTTCTCAACAACATTGTCCCTTACTTGTTTGGGGAGTTCCTTGGTCTTGATGGCAGTGTTTGGTTAGTGGTGCCTCTTGCTTAGGTGTTGCAGCCTCTGGGGCCTTTCAAAAAAGATGTGTATATGTAATGACAGATCATGTGGTACTTAGATTGCACACAGGTGGACATCATTTCACTAAATATGTGACTTCTGAAGGTAATTGGTTGCTTTTTATGGGCTTCATAACAAAGGGGGTGAATACATACGCACATGCCAATTTTCTGTATTCTATTTCTAAAAAAATAGTTTTATGTATATATTTTTCCCATTTCACTTCACCAACTTAGACTATTGTGTTCTTATCCATCACGTAAAATTCAGATTAATAAAACAATGAACTTAAGGCTGTTATGTAACAAAATAGGTAAAAAGTCAAGGGGGTGAATACTTTTTGCAAGGCACTGTATGCTGCTATCTTTTGCATACTTTTTTTTATTTATTTTTTGTTTTTTAATGATTGTGTGATAAATTAAATAAAGCATTCTTTTATAAAATTATACTGGTACTGAAAGTGTGGATTCCTTCTTTTTTTCATTTATCTTGCCAAATGTAATATGTATGAGAATATTGAAATAAAAAGTGGAAATCTGTTGGATGACATAGCAAAAACTGATCTTGTAAAAAATAAGCTTTTGCCATTAATTTTTAAAACCATGTTTACATATATTGGAACGTTGTGTTTTATCCCATGATGATTGAAGCAATCTCCGTCACTTACCCTAGGGCCCAGTCCATATATTTCTCTGAAATGTCTAGCCAAACTACACATTTTTGTCACAAATATGTAATTGTTTAAGTAACTTTATGTATCAGAAATGAAATATTTTCATTTTTTTTTTACTGAGAAATTAGGGTTCTCATGAACTCTGTCAAATTTCAAGTTATAACATGGGCTATTAAAGGGCTACTACTTCAACCTTCCTAAATGTCTTTTCTCCTAGAAATCTCCAGTTATGTGTTTTTAGGTATTATTACCCCATGAATATACATATTTTACTGTCCCTTTTAATTGACAAGACAGTTACTTGACCAACACGATTTCAACAATTCCATCTGTTGAAAGAGTCTGGCACCAGTCACTCCCTGTCTGAGTGGATTCTGGAGAGGCCCTCAGAGTCATAAAGTGTTTCATTTTGTAAGTACTGTACACAAAGTGCACCGCTTTCTCTAGGTTGTATTACTTCATCCTGGACATTAGGGCTCCCATAGTTGACAAGTGGCTCACATTAAGTCTAAGTACCTGTGTTCTCTTTTCATTCTAGCTTTAAATAACAGTGTGTGTCTGAGTGTTGGGTTGCAAAATATATTTTGCTAAATTTTAGCTAGATAAGATTGCTAACATTTTATATACAGTCATCGATTCCTTTACTGATTTCTTTAAAACGTTTTACACAGTTGTGATGACTGTGAGGTAAGATATCACAAGATCTTGACCTTCACAAATTGATTGAGAGGAAATTCAAATGAAGCTAAAAAGAGTTATAAAAAGTCCATAACAGAAAGAGACTGTGCATAAAGTGTAATATGGCTAAGGTAAAATTATTCTAATGAAATACCAAAACACACTCACATTTAAAAGCATATTACAATGATAATTTGTCCTTTTAATATTCAAACTGTGTTTCAGCATATCTATTAAAATAATATCTGCTAAATTATTCATTTGACTGTAAATTAGCAGTAGGTGTTTATGGCTTGTCGACAAAAATATATATTTTATCTTGTGTCGTCTTTACAATCAATAGTACTGCAAATCCTTCTTGGCAGATCTGTCAGCTAATATTTCAGAATAAACTACAACCATCCCTAGGAAAAACATTAAAAACACAATTTTGTGCATTTGAGGCAGTATGACCACAATATACTACATTTGTTTCATGAACAGGTGTAGTAATTAAGCAATTTATCACAGCTGAACAGTAAATGAATAACCCCAATACTTTCAATGCAAAATGAATTTAGGAGAAATTGAAAGTCTGTATGTAAAAGTTGTAATAGCAGCAAACGCTGCTAGCTGATGTATTGATAAAATAAATGAATAAAGTGACAAGTCCTACATAAAGAGGAACTTGGAACTGTTACACTATCTGTTATCACCCTTGTACTCTGTGGAGTGGTGGCTACACTAGCTGTTATCACCCTTGTACTCTGTGGAGTGGTGGCTACACTCTCTATCATCACCCTTGTACTCTGTGGAGTGGTGGCTACACTCTCTGTTCTCACCCTTGTACTCTGTGGAGTGGTGGCTACACTCTCTGTTCTCACCATTGTACTCTGTGGAGTGGTCGCTATACTCGATGTCATCACCCTTGTACTCTGTGGAGTGGTCGCTATACTCTGTCATCACCCTTGTTCTCTGTGCACTGGTGGCAACACTTTCTGTCATCACCCTTGTACTCTGTGGAGTGGTGGCTACACTCTCTGTTCTCTCCCTTGTACTCTGTGGAGTGGTCGCTATACTCTCTGTCATCATCACCCTTGTACTCTGGAGTGGTGGCTAGACTCTCTGTCCTCACACTTGTACTCTGTGGAGTGGTGGCTACACTCTCTGTCATCACTCTTGTACTCTGTGGAGTGGTGGCTACACTCTGTCATCACTCTTGTACTCTGTGGAGTGGTGGCTACACTCTCTGTCATCACCCTTGTACTCTGTGTAGTGGTGGCAACACTCTGTCATCACCCTTGTACTCTGTGCAGTGGTGGCTACACTCTCTGTCATCTCCCTTGTACTCTGTGCAGTGGTGGCTACACTCTCTGTCATCACCCTTGTACTCTGTGGAGTGGTGGCTACACTCTCTGTCATCACTCTTGTACTCTGTGGAGTGGTGGCTACACTCTCTGTCATCACCCTTGTTCTCTGTGCACTGGTGGCAACACTTTCTGTCATCACCCTTGTACTCTGTGGAGTGGTGGCTACACTCTCTGTTCTCTCCCTTGTACTATGTGGAGTGGTCGCTATACTCTCTGTCATCACCCTTGTACTCTGGAGTGGTGGCTAGACTCTCTGTCCTCACACTTGTACTCTGTGCAGTGGTGGCTACACTCTCTGTCATCACTCTTGTACTCTGTGGAGTGGTGGCTACACTCTCTGTCATCACACTTGTACTCTGTGGAGTGGTGGCTATACTTTCTGTCCTCATCCTTGTACTCTGTGTCATGGTCGCTATACTTTCTGTCCTCATACTTGTACTCTGTGGAGTGGTCGCTATACTCTCTGTCATCACCCTTGTACTCTGTGGAGTGGTGGCTACACTCTCTGTTCTCACCCTTGTACTCTGTGGAGTGGTGGCTACAGTCTCTGTCATCACCCTTGTACTCTGTGGAGTGGTGGCAACACTCTCTGTCATCACCCTTGTTCTCTGTGCACTGGTGGCAACACTTTCTGTCATCACCCTTGTACTCTGTGGAGTGGTGGCTACACTCTCTGTTCTCTCCCTTGTACTCTGTGGAGTGGTGGATACACTCTCTGTCCTTACACTTGTACTCTGTGCAGTGGTGGCTACACTCTCTGTCATCACTCTTGTACTCTGTGCAGTGGTGGCTACACGCTGTCATCACCCTTGTACTCTGTGGAGTGGTGGCAACACTCTCTGTCATCACCCTTGTACTCTGTGCAGTGGTGGCTACACTCTCTGTCATCTCCCCTGTACTCTGTGCAGTGGTGGCAACACTCTCTGTCATCACCCTTGTACTCTGTGGAGTGGTCACTATACTCTCTGTCATCACCCTTGTACTCTGTGGAGTGGTGGCTATACTTTCTGTCCTCATCCTTGTACTCTGTGTCGTGGTCGCTATACTCTATGTCCTCATACTTGTACTCTGTGGAGTGGTCGCTATACTCTCTGTCATCACCCTTGTACTCTGTGGAGTGGTGGCTACACTCTCTGTCCTCACACTTGTACTCTGTGCAGTGGTGGCTACACTCTCTGTCCTCACTCTGTACTCTGTGGAGTGGTGGCTACACTCTCTGTCATCACTCTTGTACTCTGTGGAGTGGTGGCTACACTCTCTGTCATCACTCTTGTACTCTGTGGAGTGGTGGCTACACTCTCTGTCATCACCCTTGTACTCTGTGGAGTGGTGGCAACACTCTGTCATCACCCTTGTACTCTGTGGAGTGGTGGCTATACTTTCTGTCCTCATCCTTGTACTCTGTGTCATGGTCGCTATACTTTCTGTCCTCATACTTGTACTCTGTGGAGTGGTCGCTATACTCTCTGTCATCACCCTTGTACTCTGTGGAGTGGTGGCTACACTCTCTGTTCTCACCCTTGTACTCTGTGGAGTGGTGGCTACAGTCTCTGTCATCACCCTTGTACTCTGTGGAGTGGTGGCAACACTCTCTGTCATCACCCTTGTACTCTGTGTCGTGGTCGCTATACTCTCCGTCCTCACACTTGTACTCTGTGGAGTGGTCGCTATACTATCTGTCATCACCCTTGTACTCTGTGGAGTGGTGGTAATAAGAACATGAGTGGGGATCACACGATCAATGCACTAGCAGAGGAGGGTAGTGCTTGTGGCATGTTCTCACGTCCAATACATGGTGGATGGCGATGGACCCTCTAATAGAATGTGGTTGTTTTAAAGTTGCTGATTGAACACTGATGACCTCAAAATGGCCTCCCTATTCCCTTACACCATGTTTAGAAGGATAATGTTAATAAAATGGTTTGAATCCTGGTCTGTAGAATGGGGGCTTACTAAAATAACGAGTTCTATAAAACCAAAAGAAAGCCCTGGGCTCACTTTTATCCTTCTTAAATATGTTACAACTAATTGATGGTCACTCTAGATGACAGAGCTGAAATTTGCTTTGTTTTACTTTAATCAGTAGAGGGGTCTTCATGGCCCTATGTGACTATAGAAAGACCAGTAATTCTCTCTACCCTGGCATATGGTGTAAGGGCTTGCAATACTGATCCTTTGTATCCAGACCCCTCCCCTCTTCCCCCAGTTTCTTGGCTTTTGATGTCATAATCCCTTTAAATACAGTACCAACAGGTTTCCCTATCAAAGTACAATGTGCCAACTCTACCTAATGCTTTCGATGAGACATGTTTGTTTTCCACCTTGGAGACCAAGATAATTTAAATTCACTGATACGAAAAGCAATCCCCAGTTTGGCACGACAGATGAGTTATATGATGTTTGATTGCTGAAGCTTTGGAGTGATATTTGTTTTTTTATTTTACCAGAAAGCTTTAGTAGATTTAGTAGGGAGCAATAGAATTCTCTAGTGAAGTATCTTGAAGCCGTATCTTTATATCTCCAAAGAGGATGGGGATGGAAAGCATAAGTACAGGAAAAATAAGTTTGTTTTTTAGCACAGTGAAGTCATTGTAGATGAATACAGTGGTAGAAGATACATGTGGTTGTCAAGCTTCCAAAGTATCAATAATAATGTTTTAGCATTGGTTTCACTATTTCTGTGTTAGACTAAGGTTGGCCAATAGTAGAACTATAAATCCCATCATGATTAACCAGTCTTAAAGGAACACTACAGGGTCAGGAACACAAACATGTATTCCTGACCCTATAGTGTTAACACCACCATCTACCCCCCCCCTGGGCCCCTCATGCCTCCCTAAATATAGCAAAAATCCTACTGTATTCAAACCTGAAGTTGTAACTCTGCATGCTGTTAAACTCAGAAAAACAATCATTCTGCTGACATGTGGTAGCCTGATCCAATCACAGTGCTTCCCTATAGGATTGGCTGAGACTGACAAGGAGGCAGATCAGGGGCAGAGCCAGCATGATTCAAACACAGCCCTGGCCAATCAGCATCTCCTCATAGAGATGAACTGAATCAATGAATCTCTATAAGGAAAGTTCAGTGTCTGCATGCAGAGGGTGGAGATACTGAATCACAGGATGCTGTGCACAGTGCTGCCCTGTGCTCTGCTGACAGCAGATCTGAGTGGATGGAGGCATAGGATGGAGGCATATTATGCCTCCATCAACTCCGAAGTCCCTCTGGTTCACTCTGAGTGACTGCAACTGGAGGTGTTCCTAGCTTTCAATGTAAACACTGTATTTTCTCAGAAAATACAGTGTATACATGAGAAAGGCTGCAGGGAGCTATAGTTCTCACCTGAACAATCTCATTAATCTGAAGTTGTTCAGGTGACTATAGTGTCCCTTTAAATAAAAATATTCATTTTTATGTTACACATGTTACTTTTTTAGTTTAGATCATGGCCTTCCCTTGTTAAAAAAAATATGGAGAAAGCAGTTAATCTTACTTGTAAACTAGCACGATATAATCTCCTCTCTGTATGATCCCAGCATTGGATCATCATTTTTTTTTCTTTGCCATTTTATTTTTTGTAATTCTTTATATTTTCTGTGCATGAGAGTACAAAGAGTGTTGTAATGCCACAACAGGAGGTACAAGAGCAAGAACAAGTAAAATAGATAAACAGATTGCACTAAATCCTATATGGTGAATAGTAGTGAGTTACGTGGCATGACGATGATAGAACACAATTTTATAATGTAGTGTATTGATCATCCTAGACGAACATGTCTAAAGTTTAAAAAAGTAAAAAAATGGATAAATACACCCAGAGTTTTAAGTCAAATAACACAAACAAAACATATGACATCAAAAACATTATCACATGTAACCATTTGAAAATTTTAACCCCTGAAGGTAAGAAAGTGCCGGGGTCTCCTGGCACCATAACATCATTATTCAGATTAAGTTATTATGGTGACATATGATGCCTAAACAGTCCCTTCAAGCTTTTGGCCTTAGGTTAGTAAGACCATTTGTCTGAGTTAAATTGCAAGCTGGTGTTTAATACAAATTATATGGAGCTTGTGTAAAAATACTTCAATTAACGTTTTGGCAGATGTAACAGTGGGTAGTAAAACCATAAAAAGGGTGACATAAGTGGTGTGCACTTAAAAAAATCTAATATAATTGTGTCATAGTTCCTGACAAGCCGCCGGTATTCATACTGTAACGTAGATGGATACATTGCTTGCCGTTAGAGCTGCCGAGAAGATTTTACAATTTTGAATATGTGTGGAAAGAAACACCGCGTTTCTTTGTAACCGTCAGATTGTGATGACAGAGGCATAGATTGAAAATACACACAAGGACAATCTGCAGTGGGTGTAAATCCCAGCTGCGCCAGATATTAATGATTTTATTGTTGGCAGTTGAAACAAACCACATTTGCAAGAGGTCTCTGAGCTCCCTGATTGTGTTTGTTTCTTGTGGGGAAAACCGACTGAGTAAATAATGTTTATACAGTACCAACATCACATTTGGCTGCCACCTGGAGTAACTAGCAGCTACAGCAAAATGATATGGAGTCACATAACGACACCATAATAATGGCCCTTAATTACATGTCTAAAATCCTATGAAGCTTGTAAATGACATACTTCCTATTCTCAGCAACATATAATCAGCAATGTACATAATCTCGACTCCTTTGACGTAGGAGCAGTACCGACCACATGCTGTGAAGGTCTTAAAATTCCCAATGTAATGTATTTACTCTTCTATGTAGAAGACAGTGGCGTACATACCGGGGTCGCGCCTGCGACCGGGCCCGGCCCACCAAGGGGGCCTGGCCGCCCTGCGACCCGTTATTTATGCCACTGTGGCCAGCCTCTTCTCCTGTGGGGCCCAGGACCCGGCCACCTCAGGGCCCCCCTGAGGCTGGCCCTGGTGTCGCCGGGCGGGCGGGCTGGCTGGCTGGTGGGTGCACGAGGGAGCACTCTCCCCTGTGTGCTCCCTCTTCAGCTCCCTCACGCACCGCACTGATACCGAAGCCGGAAGATGACGTCATATTCCGGCTCCGGCATCAGTACGCGGCGCGCGAGGGAGCTGAAGAGGAAGCACTCAGCCAGGAAGAGTGCTCCCTTGCGTGCCCACGAGCCTAGCAGCACCACTGGACCCCAGGGAATCCCCTCAGCACTCCAAAAGGTAAGGAGGCTGGGGGATTAAATTTTTTTTTAAATGTGTGTGTGTGTGTGTGTGTGTTTGTGTGTGTGTTAGTCTGTGTTTGTGTGTGTTAGTCTGTGTGTGTTAGTGTGTGTGTGTTAGTCTGTGTGTCTGCTAGTGAGTGTCACTGAGTGTGTCTGTTATTGAGTGTGTGTCTTAGAATCGCGGAAGCTCCTCTAGCGGCTGTCAATGAGACAGCAACTAGAGGCTGGATTAACCCTCAGTGAAACATAGCAGTTTCTCTGAAACTGCTATTTTTTCAGCTGCAGGGTTAAAACTAGAGGGACCTGGCACCCAGACCACTTCATTGAGCTGATGTGATCTGGGTGTCTGTAGTGGTCCTTTAAGTGTGTGTGCATTTGCATGCACTGGCGTACATACCGCGGTCGCAGGGGTCCCACCGCTATGTGTTGCGGCCCTGGCCCGCGCAGAGTAAGCGCGGGGGGGCCCACGGATCAATTTTCGCACCGGGGCCCCATGGGTCATGTGTACACCACTGGTAGAAGATGTAAATGCACGAAAAGAAATAGCAGTTCTAAGAATTGACAGATTGCAGCGAGAAATTGCCTTGTGCCTCCTCTGTCCTGTG